ATCGGCTCCGCCGCCTGGGCGCTGAAGCCCCTGATCGGCGTCGTCTCCGACCTCTTCCCGTGGTGGGGCTGCCGCAAGGCGCCCTACGTGGTGGCCACGCCCGCGCCCTGGCGAACACAGCTCGAGGGGGAGGAGCCGGGGGCGGCCAGGAGGGGGGTGATGACCAGGGCCAATGGGGGAAAGCCATCCAGACCCGATACTTGGCTTTTGCTACACGGCCTTGGGGCGTTGACCAAACAGCATTGGCCTGTTCGATTCCTTCTTTGGGTGCGTTCACTACGCGGCTTCGCGTGCTGGGGTTGTGGGGGCTATAGGGGGGTGGGTGGATATCATGGCGGGGGCCATGACATCGCCTCAGATTTAATGGCGCCTGCTTTTGTTTCAATGCGTCCCTGGCCCCCCCCCCCTGGGCCGCGCACCTGCCGCCAGCCAATATCTGCGCCCCCCCCCCCCCCTTGGACGCCCCCCTTCTTGGCCGCCCCCGAGGGAGGAGGCGGCCGAGATCGCGAGGGAAACGGGTCCCCGGGGCCCGCACAAGGACTGGCAGAAATCAGAAAGACAATTCTCGGATTGGGAGGATGGGGTTGGGAGAGATCATCAGATCGTGCGTGCTATCGCGTATGCCGAGTGTTCTTATCACACAGTCGTGCCCCGTATCCTCCCAAGCCGATCCTCCCGACCTGATAATTAATTCTTTTTCTTGTGGGAAGGCACCAGGGTCCAGGGCCCGTTTCCCTCAGGACACCGTTCCCCCGAGCTCACAAGAGGCGCGTGACAACTAGCCTTCAGAGCTGATGTTGCAGAACAGGAGTGCAGCATCGCAGCAAAACGCGGCCAGGGCCCCGGACCCAGCAGCTGTCTGCTCCATTTTTCGAGCTGGATCCATCTGGGAGGATCACGGGGCCCGAGAGCGGGCGAAAATGCCTGATGAACAACAAATCCTCCTCCTCCTCCCTCCCTCCTCCTCCTCCTCCTCCTCCCTCCTCCTCCTCCTCCTCCTCCCTCCTCCCTCCTCCCTCCTCCCTCCTCCCTCCTCCCTCCTCCCTCCTCCCCCTCCTCCCTCCTCCCTCCTCCCTCCTTCCTTTTCCCTCCTCCCTCCTCCTTCCTCCCTCCGCAACGCCCAGATCCGAGGGAGGCTGGGGGTTCCCCTGACCTCCCAGAGTGCAAAAAAAAATCACTCCAGACATGGACGTCCTGGTGGTATTGTTTCGCCCTTCTGGACGGTCCGGGTCCCACGGTGTGTCGGTCTCCTCGCAGGGTGTCTTCGCTGTCCGCGTGGCTCTCGTGGTGCCTGGCGCCTGCCAGGGATCGCGTGCACCTCGTTCCGGGCGTCGCGCATGGCCGCCGCCGCGTGCCCCCGCTCCTCTCTGCCGGCGGGGTTGGGCGCTTGTGGCTTCCCTTTCTCCTCCTGCTCCTCCTGCTCCTCCTCCTCCTCCTCCTCCTCCTCCTGCTCCACAGTTCCACAAGATGAATACTTCGCTCCTCTCCCCCCCGAAGCTGATGGCAAAAATAGCCCGCCCCCCTCCGCGTATTGTTTCTCATACGCAGGATTCAGTTATTTGGTCTTTCCGCTGTGTTTTCCCAATCCGACGCTTGCGCTTCCCCTCCGCGTATGGCTTTCTACACATGATGTGCACTAGCTGTGCTTGCTTGTGCGTTTTCCAATCCGGATGTTGTCGGTCCTTCCAGAAAGGCGATCTCGCTTCATCTTTAGCATGATTTCCGCACTTCCGGCTGTTCCCAAATGAGCACGCTTACGATCTGGCAATCGAGAACCTTCAAGTGATCCGCCCAAACCGGTACACCTCAAAGAAAGGCCACAACGTTCGCCGTAAACCAAGTGAACCAATCAAACGATCTCACCCACATATCGGCCCAAACGAACACCCCGAACGACCCGCCATTTTCACGAGAGCCAATGGGGGGACGCGGGAGGGTCACTAGTGACCCGCGCGGCCTCACCGGTGAGTAGGCAGCTCTAGCAGGCCCAGACCGCACCCAGACGATCCACTTACCCTACCAGGAACCTGGTGTCATGCCATGGCATGCGCTGCGGCGTTGTGTTCTGTGCTGCTCTCCGATGCCATGCTTTGCGTTTCAATGCTTGTGATGTACGGATTCGCCACGCAATGCCACGCCATGCTCTAAGATGCTACGCTCTGCCGTGTTCTTCTACGCCATGCCATGCCGCCGTGCTCTACCATGCATCGCGTACCCTCTCGTGATCACTGTCCTGCTCGACTTCCGACTGCGTGAATCGAGAGGATCTCTACGCTACGATAAGGGATGGGAGGGAGGGGTAGGACGTCAGGCATGACGCGACCGCACCTTGATCGTCCTCTCCCTCTCTCCCTACTCCTCCCTCCTCCCTTCTGCTCATCCTGCTCCTCCTCCTCCTCCTCCTCCTCCTCTTTTCCTTCTTGTTCCTCCTCTTCCGTCCCCCAGCTTCGCCCAGAAGCTGGTATGCAGCTGGAAACGCCGCTCGGGCGATCCGCCGGCCCGCGCGAAGGTCCATCATCGGCATCTGCAGCACGATGCTGATCGGGAGCGCCTCGAAGGAGCTCTCGGCCTTCCCTCCCGGTAGGGCCTTGGCCGTGGCCACGGAGCGGTCGCCCCCGTCGTCTCGCCTGTGAGCAGTCCCGCGGGGCGCCTCTTGCTGTTTTGCTTCCTTTTGCTCCCCAGGCAGTGCGGCAGCGGCGGCATCGGCATCGGCGTCGGCGTCGGCGTCGTCGGCGTCGGCGTCGGCGTCGTCGGCGTCGGCGTCGTCGGCGTCGGCGTCGGCGTAGGCGTCGGTGTTGGCGCTGGTCGTCGGCGTCGTCGTCGTTCGTGGTCGGCCCGTTGTTGTCGGCTTTTTCGTCGTCGCCACCGTCGCCATCGGCGTCGTCGTCGTCGTCGTCGTCGTCGTCGTGATCTTCGTCGTCGTCGTCGTGGTCGCCCCGCGGTTGACGCCGCCGAGGGCGGGGGGCTCGGCAAGGGCGCCGCGTCGGCAGTCGTCCCAGCAGCCGTGGGGCCAGCCTCTTCACAGGCGAGGAGAGCGGGCGAGGGGTCCCTCCTGATGGGGTCGTCTCCGCTCCGCGTGCCCCCGGACTGCGGCCGGGCTCCGCCAGAACGCCGCGCAAGAGCATCCAGCGAAAGCAGCGCAGCGTGGCAACGCCGCGCCGCCCTTGCCAACCATCGCGTCCACGAGCGCGCGATCCTGCTCCGGGGCAGCACCGTGCCGCGCACCGCCACGCTCCTGCAAGCGGGTGCTGCGGTTGCGGACGATCTCGCGCTTGTGCTCGCTGTGCCCGTCGAGGGCTCTGGCCTCTCGGCGAGGGCTCGCCCAGGCGCCCCGCCGAGTCCGGGATGCGGTCGGCGAGCCTGCGCTCCGAGTCGCCGAGCCCGGCAGCTCGATGTGGCAGCAGGGTGCAGTCGACCTGCGGCTGGGGTGCAGCACGGTGCAGACAGGCAGGCGTGCCCTCGAGCCGCCGCGTCTGCGCCCGGCCCTGGCCGGCCTCTGCCCCCGGCTGGGCGGGCGGCCGCTCCGTGCCTGCCGCGGCTCTCGCGGCGCGCTACTCCCCCCCTGGCGGGTGCCTGCCCACACTCCTCGGGGGGGGGGGGCCTCCTCGCCCTTTGTCCTCCCGGAGGTGCTGGGGCAGGCCCCGTCCTCGTCCTCCTCGCCCTCGTCCTCCTCGCCCTCGTCCTCCTCGCCCTCGTGGGGCGAGGAGCTGCAGCGCGGTGCCTCCTCCCTCTCTGGCCCCCCCCCCCCCTCGCGAGCACCCCGCCCTCCCGCTCCCTCCGCACTCCTGGCCTCGGCATGGCGGGGGCGCTCCTTCGGGTGCGCATCCCCCCGGAGGAGTCGATGACGGTGCTGGGGACCGTGTGGTGCCTCTTCGGCATGTCGCTCCAGGCTCGCGGCCCCGCCTGTTGCTTCGCAGCGTGCAACGTGCGCCACAAGCGTCCGAGGCGGGAATTTATCCATATCCACCGCCTGAAGGGTCAGTTTTCGGAGTCTCGGCAAGCGGTGGATGTGGACACCGCCCGCTGTGGCACCCGGACGCGGGCTCCCAGGCGGTGGATCTGGAGAAATCCCCGCCTCGCCAAGCGAGGGAACGTGTTGGGACTCTCATCGTTTGCTGTGTGCAGCGCGGCGGCTCTTTGTGGAGCATTCCGTACTTGTCACGGCCGTTCCCACAAAGAATTCCGCCGAGAAGATTCCAAGCGATGCCCTCCCCCGTGGCGCCGCCACCTCGGGGCAGCGCACGGGAGGCAGAGAGCCCAGGAGGGCGCCCTGCGGCCGAGGCAGGCCTCACCCCGCGTCCTGGTCGGGCGCCGCCCAGGAGGGCGCCGCCTCTGCGGGGGCACCGCGGGGAGACGCGCGGTGCGCAGGAACGGGGGGGGGGGGGTCGGCCTGGCCGTGGGGGCGGGAGGGGGAGGAGGGGGAGGAGGAGGAGGAGGAGGGGGAGGAGGAGGAGGAGGAGAGAGGAGGAGGAGGAGGAAGGAGGAGGAGGATAGGAGGGAGGAGGAGGAGGATGGAGGAGAGGAGGAGGAGGAGGAGGAGGAGGAGGAGGAGCAGGAGGAGGAGGAGGAGGAGGAGGAGGAGGAGCAGGAGGAGGAGGAGGAGGAGGAGGAGGGAAGAGGAGGAGGAGGCGGAGGAGGAGAGGGGAGGGGAGTGGTTGCGGTAGCTACGCGCCGCGTTCACGTGGCGGCGATCGCAGCGCAGGCGTCCAAAGTGCAGCGCCGTGAGTCGGCCGGAAGCAGCCGGCATCGAACGACCTGCACCATCGGAAGGCCGCGATGGTTCAAGGTTGAGCGGTGATCGCACCGTCGGCACTGCAACGCCGACGTCGTCGCGACGCTAGTCTTCCGTATGGGTCTCCTCCCTCATCCCGCCCTGGTAGGAACAATTCATCCCCGCCGCACCACAAGACGTGTCGGCAGGCCGTTCCAGGCGTTTCGCTCGAGACCCTCTCAGCTACCCCTCGGTCTTTAAAATATATCCTTGGGCTCCCATGTCCCAATCTACTTTGGGCGCCTTTCTATTTCAAGCGTCGTGCGGTTTTCCCTCTTCCCTCCCCTTCAGGGGGCGGGGGGGCCCAATCTACTTTCAATGCCTTCCTACTTCATGTTTCTACCCACTTCTGCCGACCGATTGGTACTCATCTTCCTGAGGCTTGGGAAGTCTAACAGTCATGTGGATGGAGATGGAGGGAGGCTCGTTTTCAAAGTGTGGCTCTTGCCTGAGTGCCGCGCACAATTGTCTGACAAGTCCCCAACAACAGACTGGGCGTGAGGTGCTCTTCAAGATGTTGCCTTCGCCCCAGCGCCGCGTGCATTCGTCTTCTCAGGTTCCAGAAGTGACAGGGAAGGAGGTCTTTCTCTTTTCGAAGCCGGGCTTCTGGGCTTTCGCTTCAGAGCTGGTATGTAAAAGAGGTGAGATTACGCACCGCTTACAGACATGCAGTGAGCATTCGGTGTGATGTGTGCGCCAGTTGCACGCTGCTGCAATAGGAGCGTTCACGCACTGTGGGTCTGCTTTGGAGGGCCAGCGTGAGCCGGCATGCGCCCCTCGGCGCACGGCTTCTTAGCAGAACGAGCATGGAGAGCGGTTCCTTTGCAAAATCGGACTCGCTGGAGACCTCGCCCAAGTCTACGACTAGATGGATACAGTTGTGGAGTAGTTGAGCGGGTGCAGGGCGGATCTTTTTCGAGGCGGGGCAGGGGGGGATAGGCGGATAGGCTCAGGGTGGCGCAGGGTGCAGGCCCGCGAATCCGCCGGCTGGGGAGCCCCTTCAGAAGTGCATGTGGTCGAGAATGTTGTTCTCCGTGTGCTCAATACTTGTTTGTTTCCGTCGATATCCATCCAGTTGTTGGCGACAGCCCCGCTCGTAGATCGTAGAATCGGCGGTATGTCATCTCCCCACCGTTTTCGTTGCCCGCCGGGTCACGTTGTTCTGGTCTGGTGTCTTGCGTGTCAGGCTCCCGAGCTGCGGCAAGTCTAGTCCACCTCTGGGTGAACTGTGCTTCCACGCGCTCTGCCCATTTCCATTTGCGCTCGCTGTAAACAGCCGCCCACTCTTCAATACTGAAGCGTGATGCGAGAGCTGTCATGGCATGGGTAACTCTGCGAATGAAGGTCTTCCACGGCTCAAGGTCAGGATCGTCTTCGACGGTTTCTACGCCACTTTGATTTCTGGTGCCATTCGTGCTTGTGTCGGCGTTCCTGGTGTCGTTGTCTGGACCGGGGTCTCAGTTGGCGTTGGCGCCAGAGTCGGCGTTGCGCCGCGTAGGTGCTCGGCGTATATTGATGTCGTAGTCGCCAGGGTCTGTCTTTGGTGAGTGTCTACGAGGTGCAGTAGTACATGATGGTTGGCGTCACGGTGCCATTCATAGACTTCTAGCTTGGGGGGGCGCATCAAGCCCCATTCGCCCATTGATCGTCGATGAGGGATTGAGAGCCCACTCCGCCCATGAACGCGCGGTTTCGCAAGCGGAGGCTTATCGCCGACCTATCGGCGATGGATCGCCGATTCCAGGTCGATGTCTCAGCGATGGAGGGCGGGCGTCTTTCAGAATGTGGCTCTCGGCTTAGCACAACGCGCATTGGTTTCAAAAGTTTGCAGCAGTTTCAAGCATGGAGGGCGGGTGGTTTTACAAAGTGTGGATCTCGCTTTAGCACCGCGCACATTCGCTCTACAACATCGCATCAGTTTCAAGGATTGAGGGCGGGTGGTTTTCAACATGTGGCTCAGTCTTGCTGTAGCGCCGCGCACAGCATACTCGTTTCAGCAGTTTGCAGCAGCTTCAAGAACAGAGCGCGGTTCCTTGTCAACATGTGGCTCTCGTTGTAGCGCCGCGCACATTCGTATTTATTTGTTGCAGCAATTTCAAGGGTTCTGAAGTCCCAGGAATGGTGTTCTGGGACGTTTTAGGGTTGTCTTGGCGCAATAGTCACCTTGCTTTGCGATGTTGAAGACCCAGGAATGGCACTCTGGCGCGATTTAGGATTGCCAGGACTTAACTGTCACGTTGATTCGCGGCGCTGAAGTCATGGGAGTTGTGTTTTGGCACGGTTGAGCATTCCGATTCTCAGAAGATTGTCTTCCCATTGTGCACCTCCCGCAATGGAAATAAGCTTTTGTAGGGGCATGTGAAGAGGGAAGGTGGAGGAGGAGCGGGAGGAGGAGGAGGTACAGGAGGAGTAGGAGGAGGAGGAGGATGGGGGGGAGACTGCGGATGAGGGAGAGGTAATGAGAGGCCGATGTGGATGATGAGGGTTGAGAAGAGAAGAGTGCGATTAAGGGGAGGGCAGGAAGGAAGAGAGTCGAAGAGAAGGAGGAGGACGATTCGGAGGAGCCCTCCGAGCAACCGACAGGCCTCCACCTGCGACCTGCTGACGGAGGCCAAGTACTCGCAGAAGCTCCACGAGGAAGAGCCTCCCTGGGGGACGCCTCGTCGGCGGAGGGCGGGCGTAGTCTCTTTGTTCGATGGATCGTGACTGTGGGTATCATGCCTAATTTG